GTGTGTTGGGGGCATGGGTGGGTGAAGGTGTGGAGGTGCAGTTGGGGTAATGTTTCTAAGAGGTACATGTGTGTACCATTCACCCACACAGGCAATGATTGTTCTCCGTATCTTTACTTTTCTGCCCGTGCTCGGTTGCGTATTAGTGCTGCAATCATCAAACAGATTTGAATGAAGTAATGTGCTGCTAAGATCTCTCTCCTTTGGCTGGACTGTTTCTATTTCATTCTCTTTTTTCTCAATTGTCCTGCATTTTCTCCTGACTTTTATTTTCTTCCCTTGTTTTATCATTTACCCGATGTTGTAACTGCTGAAGGGATTTGAGATGAAGTGACGATTGAAGTCTTTATGTACTATTTGGTAGCTGTCTTCATCTGGGAACATGAAGGTGGTTGGCGCTACCTGACCAGGTCCATGCTTCCTGAGAGCCGCCTGTTCTCCTTCTCCTTCTCGTTCGCCTCTCTCTCCAAGCTTGTCTTGGCTATAGCTGATGCCCCAACCTGCTGCAAATGTCAGCCTGAGAGGAGCTGGGGGGAAAGGGGGCGGGATGGGCTGGGGGGCTGGTTCGCTCTGCCAGATATGTTGCACTCTTCTCCACCAGACTGCCACGTCAGCCCCCCCCCGAGTAATTAATCAATCTATTACGTTATTAACCCAGTGCAGGCACGTTCGGGCGCTTAGGCCTTCCCTCTTTTGTCTATTGTTGGTGCGATTGGTGCTCTGCAGCTTTATGAGTTTACAACTCCTACGTCTGCTCCCACCCAGCATGACTCTCCAGTGATGTAGAGTTAGGTGGACTTTTTCCTCTTCCTCTGGTGGTAGTAGGGGTGCATGTGCTTCCGTCTTCACCCGAATATTACGCCTTGTCATTGTAGCTGTATTTGGGGCACTTTTCAGTCCAGGTGCAGCGATAATCACTGGGCGTTCTATTCGGGTGAAGACGGTAGGGGTGAGAGCCAACTTGATGGGTCTATTTGTTTCCGATGTCCATTATCCTCTCCTTCATTCTCAGGTTACCCTTGTTTTTTTGCTACATCCCAGTGTTGCACACCCCGACCGTTGGCGACCCTTGACTGGTCGGCTGGTCGGCACCTACTGGTCGGGGGTCGTCGGCACCCCGCAAAAAAAGAAAAACCACGAACACCCGCATACCAACCCCAAATACCCCCATACACCCCCCCAACACCCACAAACCGCCCCCCAAAACCGTCATAACCCCCCCCTAGTACCCCCTATACCACCGCTATACCCCCCTATACCCCCCTATACCCCCCTATATCCCCCTGTATACACCCCTCCCCCAACCCCACCATCCCCAAAAATATCTCAGCGGATTTGGGCTGTACTCAGCAAGCGCAGTACAGCTTCCAACTCAGATCTGAAAAAAAATTAGTGGATGGTTGTTTTCAGACTGGTCGGCAGACTGCCTACCGGTCGGCCCTATTGGTCGGCTGCAATACGGTCGGCGGTTGGCAGGGATGCAACCATGCTACATCCTGTAATTCATGTTGTTACCCTTCTCTCATCAAGTTCCCGCTTTCCAGCAGGTGCTGCTCCCCACCAATAGACTGGAGCAACCAGGTGGCCCTCTAGGAGGGGGTGTTCTTACCACCTCTCCTAGCGTGGTGATGTGATTCACCGGAAAAAAAAAAAAAAAAAAAAAAAAAAAAAAAAAAAAAAAAACCCTTCTCGTCAAGTTGTTGATCTGTGTGCCGTGAAATGATTGCTTCGTTGGGCTTCGTCGAATTTGATCGGAGTGATGAACGCTGAGGAGAACTGTGTTGATGTGTGTCATGAAGTGGTGGCAACCTTGGGTCGGATGGCGGTGATGAATGTTTAGGTGGACACCGGTTTCAAAGACGTGTTGTAACGGTGTGTAACGAATTCAATATGTGTTGTTGATTTCTCGCAGCGTTTCCTCCTTACTTCTGGATGAATCTTTCATCTCCGTCAGTGATGAATGTGTAACTACTTCAGTACGTCTTGTTGATTTCTCGCAGTGATCGACCTAGCACCCCTGTCACTAGCTCTTCTTCCCCTCCGTATCTGATGATTTTTTTTTAAATTTCGTTTTTTTTTCCCTGTCCAAGTTCGAGCTAGAGTTAAGCTCAACAGCGTCTGCTTTCCCTCCGGATTGTCCCCAGAGACCGTTCCCTCCCAGTTCGAGCTAGAGTTAATATCAACAGCGTCTGCTTTCCTTCCCTCCGGTCGTGCAGGATCATAGATAGAGAGACATTGCGAGCATTGTAAATCCATTCATCTGATCTCTGCTGGGCACTTTCATTTCACACCTGTGCGGCTGTGTATGGCAGCATATTGATGATTTCTCTGCATCGAATGTGGGAAACATCGCTTGCTATCGGCTTTTGCCTCAGAGTGCGGTTTGATTTAAATGAACTCAGTTAGATTGCAGTTTTTGATTTGAGTGAACTCAATTAAGTCCTCAACATTAAAGTCACCGGACTCGTACTCAGGGTTGCATGGTGGCATTGCAATGGATTCTCCTTGTGGCAGGTTATCGTCTCATTTGGTGTTATAATGTACAAACATGAAAGTAAAATTGCGGAAAACAGTGGTTGCAAGGGTCTGTAGTAGGCGGCTTTGTTACAGGAAGGACCGGGGTCAGGGCGACGATCGAAGGTAGCGATAAACTGGGTTGGCGGAAACATTGTGCAGCTGGAAGAGAGGCGCAGACCACAGTCTCAAGCTCTGATTGTCTCGCAGAGTGTGGAGGATGGATAGGAAGAAACCGAAAGAGCAAGACAGCGAGCAGAATGGACGGATCGTAGGGGTTGCGGCGGCAAATGGTGTTGGTGGAGAGGGTTCTGCGAGACCAAAGCGCAAAGGACAGCTAAAGCCATCTCAATCGTATTCAAATCAGCATCAGCAGCAGCAGCAGCAACACCAGCATCAGCAACAACAACAGCAGCAGAACCAGAACCAGAACCAAAACCACAACTCAAAGCCAGGTCTTTCTCAGCTGCAGGCCTCCCAACAGCAGCAGCAACAACAACAGTCTCGCTCACAATTAATTTCACCTTTCCTTCATCCCCGCCGACAACTTCAACAAGATATTCCAAGGAAATCGCTTTCTCGAGGGCCCTTCCCTCCTCTTCCTCCTCAGCAACAGCAGCAACAACAACCTCGGAGACAAAGGAGGATTCCACGCTCGTTTACTCCTCCTAAAGTTGAACCGAGAGACGACATGAAAAGGTGAGAGTGAAGTTCATTGCTTGATCTTGGGCTGATTAGCACATATAGACAATGACCTTGAACCTCGAATCCTGTTGACAAACGAAAGTTTTAAGTGCCGCCGGCTTTTTCGAACACGTGAGAGATGGGTGTGATGTCTTTAGGTCTGATGCTCTGAGCGAAAGAGTGTTTGTGTGCAAGCAAGAGAAAGCAAAATGAGAAGACAACGGTCCTTTCCGTCGACCTCAAGACAACCACCCTTTCCGCCAACCTCCTGATGTATGTTGATAGATTGGATATATTATTATATTCTGATGATTTAGGCGAGTGCAATCAAGAGAGAAAGTGAAAAGAGAAGACAAAGTTTTCCTCTTCCATCAACTTCCCTGGTGGTGCTACTATATATTCAGGTGGATTATCACTTACAGTGTAATCAGTGAGGGGATTCTGCAGACTGTTGAGGGTTCAGCCTCCTGATGGGTCAGTGAAACTGCGCCAAAACACTTTGTCACAGCCCCTCGTTTGTTGTCCTCTTCTCCCTCCCTCTCTGCCTACGGTTTACCGTAGGCACTTCTGTTTGATGATATATATGCCGCTGGTTTACGGACAATGAGGAGGAGCACCTCGCTCCTATTGGAGATATAGCGGCCTAGTTGCCTCTTGGCGACCCCTGTAAATTCTGGGAGGGCACCAATCAGGTCACTAATCACCGGCACACATAAAAGAAAAACAAGAGATGTAATAGTCCCAGTGACCCCAGGCTGCGTCAGAGCAGCGGGAGACTAATTAAAGTACCCACTAATACCCATTCCCTTTTTTTTTTTTTTTTTTTTTTTTTTACACCCAGCATATCCATGAGAACACCCTAGGACCCATCCCTTGTTTGCCTCAAAACCCTAAACCCTAATTGTCCTAAGAAAAAGGATAACCTAAAAAGTAGTAAAAACAGAATACTAAAAAAGGAAAAAAAGGAAACTAAAACTTAATAATGCCAACGAGGACAATCTTATAATACAGAAAACAACTAGCAGGTCCGCAGGGGGGGAGGAGGGGCCTTACAAAACAGATTAGGGCACAGAAAAAGCTAACAGAAAAAGCTAGCAGAATATATCTATACACAACTACTGAAGCACAGTTACCGCAGAGTTTAAACCGCCTCAGAGTTTAAACCACCAGTCTTGCTGCGCGGCCAAGAAAACTCCCAATTGGTAGCCGGTAGACCCCACCCAACCAACCAGCCTAGGAAAACAGGAGCGGCACAGGTTCGACTGGGGTGCAAATTGAAAGTGGTCGCCCAACCAGGTTTGCTTCGGATACCGGCCCAGCCTCGGGGTCAGGCAACAAAAAAGGACTGGTAGTTTAAGCTGCATGCTTAGACGCAGAGGCATCACTGACAGGTTGTTAATGAATGCGGTCAAGTGAACTCCTTGACCGAATACGATCGTCTGAGGATCATTAACCGAAGTGGCAGAAGTGTGGCCAACCCATGGGGGGTGAAAGGTAGTCAAATGTAATGGTTAGTATATAGCAGACAAATTATGAGTTCAAATTCTGATTCAATCAGACGAATAAAATAAGTCTATTTGAGGATATCAGCTGTTTTCCACTACACAACGAAGCGGAAAAGACAGGCGTGGGAGAGCTGCGATTGGTTGGAGAGCTGTCTCTTCGTTGTTATGGAGGGACGTGTTCTGCATGGGCGTACATGGTAATGAAGAGAGAGGTTTTGGGAAACATATTTCTCCGTTACAACATACACGATGCTGTGAAGTTTGTGTGAACCTGTGAACCTCTTGGCTAAAGGACTGCCCGATGATTGTCAACGGACGTGGAACGAGTACTACTGTTAGTGGAAGTTGTCTCATGTGTGTGTGTGTGTGTGTGTGTGTGTGTGTGTGTGTTTGTGTGTGTGTATGTGTGTGTGTGTGTGTGTGTGTGGCATTCTGACACCGCACGGGCCCCAGTTAGGGCCCGGTTCCGTAGTTAGGCTTAGTTTAGGCCTAGGGTCAGGGGTCATGTCAGTTCAGATCGGTAGGTTGGACCAGAGGCCGAGTAGGCCAACGGTCACAAGGGCCAGGCCGGTACCGGTCCAACACTAGGACCTACCGGCAGCGGAGTTTTGAGCAACGGTCCAGACCCGAAGGTACCAGCAGCCTAAAGGCTGGCCCAGCGCTATATCAGCCGGGTACCAGCCTGAGTAGGGGAGGTTAGTACAGCATTTCGGCGTTAGCATAGCGGAGCAGCAAGGAGAATTAGCGCAGCAGCGAGGAGGATTAGCGCAGCAGCGATTAGCGCCAGCCCTCTGGCTCAGCCCGCAGCCCAGCGCCCAGCGCTGCAGCGCCATAGCTGCACCGCCATGCTCGGCCTCAGCGGACATCGGCAGGGACAGCGCGGTCACGCAGGTATCAGGGAGAAAGGCTTCGCCTTTCTTCTCTCTTCCTTCTCTCCTCCTCCGCCCTCTTTCTCCTCCTGCCCTCTAAGTCTAAGGCTACTTCTTGGTTTACTCTTACTGGACTACCACGAGTATGAAGGATGGTTACGAGTTCTGATGATATTGGACATAACAACATTGAGACTTTCGGTTGAGGACTACTTTTGGGATCTGACTTCATCTACCTTTGGACATGTATCTTGGCATTGGGAGATCGATATCTGGGACACTGTGAGACTCTGTATTTGCGACATTTTGGATTTTCACTACTTCTGACATTTCGAGATACTATTTTTGGAGACATTGAGTTGACGTCATCTTCCCTCTCCTCCTCCCTTCGTCTCTCCTCCCCACCATTCATCTGTGTATGAGATCAGCCCCTGGCCCTTTCTTCCATGTCCAAGGCCAGGGCTTTCACACCACCGATGCATGTTTGTGAGGGATTCATTGCAGTCTGAGTCAGGTTTGAGTCCATCCATGTGTATCAAGTCTTCCGCTGTAATTGTATTCACTCTGTATTATCTGGTCGGTTCTGGGGATCTGCGCCATACTTATGTCTGTATTCACGAGTATGCAACCATGTGTGTGTGTGTGTGTGTGTGTGACAAATGTACTTTACAGCAATGACCGGTCCAACCACGTAAAGACAAGAACACTGTCTGCGGGAAAGCAAGCTGTTGGAACGCAGCAGCCAATTGGGCTCTCTGCTCTCTGACTGCCTCTGTCTTCCTGTGGGTAGGACATTCTTTTTAAGCCACATGCCATGGTTGCATCCCTGCCGACCGCCGACCCAGACCGCCGACCGTATTGCAGCCTACCAGTAGGGCAGACCGGTTGGTGGTCTGCCGACCAGTCAGAAAACAACCATCCACTATTTTTTTTTCAGATCTGAGTTGGAAGCTGTACTGCGCTTGCTAAGTACAGCCCAAATCCGCTGAGAAATTTTTGGGGATGGGGGGGTTGGGGGAGGGGTGTATGGGCTGTCTCTTATACACATCTAGATGTGTATAA